AATAAGTAAAATTAGTCAATTAGCAAGAACTCATTTAAAATTAAGTCCTTTCTAAAAATTTCTCTTATACATTTATAGACATTTTTTCATATATGTTAATGTAAAAATTAATAATTTTGTTCCAAAAGAACTATTTAGTAAACTTATCTAACCTTATTATAACAAGCTCAATTTAATTTAGCCTAATCCAACTAAATATATTCTAGATTAGTTTACAATAATTTAATAATAAACAAACACATTGAAATATATTTTTTTTCTTTAGGTTTAGAATGATTTTTGCGACATTATTGCATACACAAATATTCGCTTGCCTTATTCGGCAAGAAGAGCGTTGCTATTTAAACTAAAATCGCAGTTTTACCTCTTCGTCTCGCCCTGAATGGGAAACGAACAGGAAATAATTTCAGAGTGCTCAAGGATCATACAGCGCTCACGTTTCTTCTAGGGACGACGTCTCCATGCTGGTGAAGGACTTTTGGTCCAGGGAATTAGACCTACCCTCTCCCCCTTCTCCTTTCCGGGATCAACCCCAGTTATCCCGTAAATATTTCAAGCCTTGAATATAACAATAATAATAATTCAGTAATGTCTTGCATTATATCAAATTCGATTACCTTCCATTCTTCGTGCACCGAATGTTCCTTGCGGGTTTGGCGCTTCTCATTCATTATTATTATTACAATTATTTTAATCTCACTATTATTATGTATGCCAATAGGAATAAAATATTAGTATAATTATTAATAATATTAATAAAAGAACAACTAACAGCAACAATAATATGCAAATAATAATTAAATTAATTCACTAGCACTAATATAATGATTTTTTAACAGTATTGACAAAATTCACACAGACTGAATGTCTAACAATCACAAGGTATAAAAGTGGTAAGTTATTGCAATGAGAGACGAATGCGCATTGTCAAGCTAAATTATTTTACTAGACAAATGGGGATACGTGGTAGTGTGTTGCTGCCCTATTCTGCGTTCTAGTTATACAGCATGAACAAACGCTAGCTATGTTTACCCTGTCGTGGTTACATAGTGGAAGCAAAAGCTAGCTATGTTTTCCCTGTCGTGGTTACACAGTGGAAGCAAAAGCTAGCTATGTTTACCCTGTCGTGGTAACATAGTGGAAGCAAAAGCTAGCTATGTTTTCCCTGTCGTGGTTACATAGTGGAAGCAAAAGCTAGCTATGTTTACCCTGTCGTGGTTACATAGTGGAAGCAAAAGCTAGCTGTGTTTTCCCTGTCGTGGTTACACAGTGGAAGCAAAAGCTAGCTATGTTTACCCTGTCGTGGTAACATAGTGGAAGCAAAAGCTAGCTATGTTTTCCCTGTCGTGGTTACATAGTGGAAACAAGGACTAGCTATGCTTTCCCTGTCGTGGTTACATAGTGGAAGCAAAAGCTAGCTGTGTTTTCCCTGTCGTAGTTACATAGTGGAAACAAAGACTAGCTATGTTTTCTCCGTCGTGGTTATATAGTGGAAACAAATACTAGCTAAGTTTTCCCTGTTGTATTCTCTCGCGCAGGATGGACATCTCGCATCAAGTGTTAGAATCTGTCAGGCTGAGGGCAGTGAGGGTATCGTCGGGTAAATTCACTAGGTTTCAGCAGCTACTGAAGCTTCGGAAGTTACTTTACTCATACCTTTAGATAACATTTCTCAAAACAGTCTATCTTATACACAGAATTGAACTAATGAAGATTTCTTCATCGTTATCACTTAACGAGGGCAAAAATAATTCTCCTTTCTCCCTCTCTTTCTCTTTCTATCCCTCTTTACTGCAATAACTCAGCTAAAAAAAAGCTAAACATCACATAGTTTACAAATACTGAGAGGTATACATTAACTGGTGGCGAGCCGGTGTCATACAGTCATAATGAGCCTTGGTGTAGTAGCTGACAACCTTTGAGCCCAGTTAAGCAACTTAAGCACCACGAAATCAATACACAGTCACTCAGAATAAGTTTAAGATCGCAAAACGAATGATAAGATCATGCTGAGATCACATTTACATATATTCAAAGCAGCATTTAGAATCATTAAGATAACATTTAGGCTGAATGATGACGCTAAATGTCAGCGTAAATGTTAGCGCTATGCTAACATTTACGCACATTGAGATTACTTACACGCTCACTAAGCTACCATTTACGTACACTGAGATCACATGATTGCTTAAAGATGCAGAGAAGGTAAATCAATTTGCATTTACAGACTACTGACTGTAAATCACCTATTATTATTATTATTATTATTATTATTATAATTATTATTATTATTACGAATTTATACAAGGGGAGAACAAAACCTGTTGGAATCATTCAGCGTCTGAGGGAACAGGATTCAGTTCGATTCATTCCACGACAGGGAAAGGATGTAATGGTCATTCCATGCATCGTCAACCTTTCACCTGAATCTCGTGAAGGAATTAAACCCTCATCACAAGTGTAAGAAAAAAAAAAGGGTAAAACTGAGAATTTAAAAACTGTCGAGTCCCGAGAGATCGATGGAATCTGAAAATCGAACGCAGTGTTCCAGACCAAAATCGGAGATTATCGCTCTGTGTAATTGTTATTGACATTTGCCACTGAATTAAACAGTCAATAATTGCTGGCCCACTTTGGTGTAGCTTGTTATATGTACCTGTAAATTGCCTGAAACACCTGTAATTGTTATGAGGGGTCGCAGTTGTTCTACCGCAGTTGTTTTAATGTTATAAGCATTATCGGAGTTATTACGATGTTATCATTTTTTTAGCAATATCGTATATAATAATGTTATTTTTGCATTGTTAGAAATAACGTTGAAAGTAATGGCATGATGTTATGTGTTTGAGTAGTAATAATAGTAATAGTTGTGGTAGCTAATAACGGTAGTAGATAGTAGTACTAGTGATGGTAGCGGTAGTAATAGTAGTAGATAGTAGCAGTAGTGGTTATAACAGGAATAATAGCAGTAGATAGTAGTAGATAGTAGCAGTAGTGGTTATAACAGGAATAATAGCAGTAGATAGTAGTAGTAGTAGAAGTTGTGGTAACAGTAATAAAAGTGGTAGTAATTGTGGTAACAGTAATAATAGTGGTAGTAGTTGTGGTAACAGTAATAATAGTGGTAGTAATTGTGGTAACAGTAATAATAGTGGCAGTAGTTGTGGTAACAGTAATAATAGTGGTAGTAGTTGTGGTAACAGTAATAATAGTGGTAGTTGTGGTAACAGTAATAATAGTGGTAGTAGTTGTGGTAACAGTAATAATAGTGGTAGTAGTTGTGGTAACAGTAATAATAGTGGTAGTAGTTGTGGTAACAGTAATAACAGTGGTAGTAGTTGTGGTAACAGTAATAATAGTGGCAGTAGTTGTGGTAACAGTAATAACAGTGGTAGTAGTTGTGGTAACAGCAATAACAGTGGTAGTAGTTGTGGTAACAGTAATAACAGTGGTAGTAGTTGTGGTAACAGCAATAACAGTGGTAGTAGTTGTGGTAACAGTAATAATAATGGTAGTAGTTGTGGTAACAGTAATAATAGTGGTAGTAGTGTTAATAGCAGTAGTTGTGTTAATAGCAGTAGTAGGTATACATAAATAACCCGCACACAGGAGACAGAAATTTACTACGACCTTTCGGTCCGACCTGGACCATAAGCCAGTCACAAGGGTGTCTAGTTAATGGCCAAAAGTAGGACCGAAACGTCGTCATTCGCTTCAGTCCTGGCTATCTGTGTATTCCAGCCGCCACGGAATTGCGCTGTTTTATTCTTTAATAGTAGCAATAGTAAGAGTAATACTAGTAGTAGTCGTAATAATAATAGTAGTAGTAAGGAGTACTAGTAATAGTTGTGCTAATAGAAATAATAGCTGGAGCAGTTGTGTAACTAGTAATAGTAGTATAAGTTGCGCTAATAGTAATAATAGTAGTAACTGTGGTAACAGTAATAGTGGTAGTAGCCGTGGTAACAGTAGTAATAGTAGTGATAGTTGTAAAAGTGAAAATAGTAATATAATAGGAGTAGTATAAGTATGGATAGTAGTAATAATTTGTAGAAATAATAGTAGAGGTAATTACGGCAATAGTGCTCAGAGTAGTAGTAGTAGGGCTATTTGTAATAGTAGTAGCAGTAATAACTGTCGCAATAACAATAATAGCACTAGCAATATATTGGTAATAGCAAAAACGGGAATCCCATAAACACCTCTAGCAGCGAGACTAGCACGGCTGTAATTAGTACAACTAATAGCAATGGGAAATTTGACACGTACGGGTCATACAACTAGTAGAAGTGGTAGTAATACTAGCAATAGCAGTAACAAGAATAGTGCCGCATAACTTATAGTAACAGCAGAACATGCTATTAGCAGGATTGTCATGAGTGTCAATAATAGCTGAACTAGCAGTTATAGCAGCAGCAGTAGGACAATATGACCGATGATTCCAGCAGTATTAGTAATAACAATATCAGTAATAGCAGTGCTAACAATAGCAATATTAGTAATAGTAATAGTAAAAAAGTATTAGTAATAGTATTAATAATAACATTATCAATAATAGCAGATTCAGTAATATCAGTTTTAGAAAGAGTATTAGTAATAGCATTATTAATAATAGGACTATTAGTAATAGTAGTTTATTAATAGCAGTATTAGTAATAGGACTATCAGTAATAGCAATTTATTAACAGCAGTATTAGTAATTCAGTTATAAATAAGAGCATTTGTAAAAGCAAAGTTAATAGCAGTAATGTTAATAATATTAGTGCTAATAATAACAGTATTTGTAACGGCAGTAATAATAATAATAGCAGCATTTGTAATAGCAGTAATAGTAACAATGTTAGTAATAACAGAATTAATAACAGCAGTATTCGCTAAAGCACTATTAGCAGAAGCAGTATTAGTAATAGCAGTATTTTTGTTACCAGTAACGTCAGTGTTATCAGCAGCAGAATCAGTAATAAGGATAATGCCATAATAACGTCATTTAACGTACTTACCACTTTCAATATGACGTCTTCCTCATACCCTTTTTTTTTTAAGTATCAACCAGATTAGGATTCAAACCTTAAATTCTCTTGCTCTTCTTTCTTCCTCGGAAATTTCTCTTTCTTCTTCTTCTTCTTCTTCTTCTTCTTCTTCTCTCTCTACTTAATTACCTTCTATCAACACTTACCATCATCTTCAAGGTATGTTTGTTCTTTCGTTTATTTCTGATTATTTCTCGTTATATCTTCAGAATCATTTATCATTTCATTCACACTAAATAACATCTTTTTCTCACCGTCACTGTAAACACGGAGTCGTAAACAACGTTCCCGTAAACAATGTTTCAGCGGAATATTTCTTTCTAAGTTTCGTTTTCGGTATATAATAATGGTTCTCTGATTATATTTCGCTTTTTCCTAGGGCGTAATTTTTGAAGCACTACGAAACAAAGTGATGATGATGATGATGATGATGATGATGATAAAAATAATAATAATTGTAATAATAATGTAATTCGTCTTTGCAAAGGAAATTATAAAATAATTCTCGTCTTTGTAAACAAATTGTATAAAAAATTAATTCGATACTCATATGTATGTATGTATGTGTGTATGTATGTATGTATGTATGTATGTATGTATGTATATATGTATGTATGTATATATGTATGTATGTATGTATATATGTATGTATGTATGTATATATGTATGTATATATGTATGTATATATGTATGTATGTATGTATGTATATATGTATGTATGTATGTTAAATGTATATATGTATGTATGTATGTATGTATGTATGTATGTATGTATGTATGTATGTATGTATGTATGTATGTATATATGTATGTATATATGTATGTATTTATGTATGTATGTATGTTATATGTATCAAGAAAGAAAGAAATTAAACGCGAGTAAATTTTGAGATAATTGATATAAAGATAAATATGATAACCGAGAGAGAGAGAGAGACAGACGGTGAGAGAGAGAGACAGAGACGATGAGAGAGAAAGAGAGAGAGAGAAGGAGAGATAGAGAGAGAGAGAGAGAGCAAAAGTATGAGCGAGAGAGAGAGAGAGAGAGCAAAAGTATGAGCGAGAGTAAGACGCACGCCACTGGTAACTGACTGAACGCGACCTACCCAGAGCCAGGTGCGAGGTTCAACTAACTTCGCCAGTTCGCTAAGCTGACTGGCCTGGCTGGCTGGCTGCCTCCCGACCCACGGAGCTGCCAGCGATCACTACTGGTGTTTGTGAGGTGTGTGGGGGTGTGTGTGGGGGTGTTTGGTGGTGTGTGGGGGTTCTGTGGTGGTGTGTGGAGGTGTGGTTTATGTATGTGGGGGTGTGGTACTGTGTGGGGGATCTGTGGTGGTGTGGTGTGTATGTGTGTGTGTGCGTGTGCGTGTGTGTGTGTACTCACCTAATTGCAGTTGCAGGGGTAGAGACTCAGCTCCTGGCCCAGCCTCTTCACTGACCGCTACTGGGTCCTCCCTCTTCCTTTTCCATGAGCTTTATCATACCTCGTCTTAAAACTATGTATGGTTCCTGCCTCCACTACATCGCTTGCCAGACTATTCCACTTCCTAACAACTCTGTGGCTGAAGAAATACTTCCTAGCATCATTTTGACTCATCTGAATTTTCAGATTCCAATTGTGACCCTCTGTTTCTGTATCCCATCTCTGGAACATCCTCTCTCTGTCTACCTTGTCTATTCCACGCAGTATTTCGTATGTCATTATCATGTCTCCCCTGACCCTCCTATCCTCCAGTGTCGTGTGTGTGTGTGTGTGTGTGTGTGTGTGTGTGTGTGTGTGTGTGTGTGTGTGTGTGTGTGTGTGTGTAGGTGGGTGGGTGTTGGTGTATTGTGATTTTTGTATTAGTATCCTTTTCTTCCTCTTTCTCTTCCTCCTCCTCCTCCTCCTCTTCCTCTTCCTCCTCCTCTTCTTCCTCCTCCTCTTCCTCCTCCTCCTATAAAAATCAACATCTTGAATTTAATTTGACATATATATCTTATGACGGTGTTCGTGCAACGAGACACGGCTTTGATCTTGTTCCTTCTGAACAAATCGTCTACAATTTTCCCTATTTTTTCTATATTGCCTCTGATATTTACTAAGCTGAACCAATTATAATTTTTTTGCCCTTTTAAATATCCATATTTTCAATTATTTATGCCGAAATATTAAAAAAAAATGTAAATGCATAAAACCTATCACCTTCAGCCTCTGAGAATCCTCAATAACGAGACCCAATTCTCCTTAATTGCCTCGCAAAGAACTTCGATCCTCTTCTCTTACCCGTGAGTTTCGCATAAAATAGAAAACACGCTTCAGATGCCACAATTATGAGGAGGAGCCAGATAATCTGGCTGACATATGAGCAAACTAAGTGAAGGATCAGAATGCTTATCACTATTCAGACGTCATTGCTAATCACTTATTAAAGGATTAGATGTTTTATTGTGTCGTATCCATTGTTCTCAAGAAGTTTAAGTGTCGCTTTTGTTCAGTTATAACAACTATGCTTCTCCTACTAATATTACTATCACTACTAATATTATTTCTGTCACTATTACTTCTGCTATTACTTCTATTACTTCTGCTATTACTTCTGCTACTAATATTTCTACCGCTAGTACTTTTACTATTACTGGGCACTAAACAAAAAGTTTAATGCCCAAAGAAGTTGTTTATGTGAGTACAGTGGAAAAAAATAAACATGTTAGAAGATAATTAAGAGGAAAATCTAGTCAGAAAAAACTTCGAAGACTGTAGTATACAAGAGAGTGAATTAAGATGCAGGAAAAAAATAGGCAAATATCAGAAAAGAGAGAAATCATTAAAAAAAATATCAGTGATCATGTGTTCTTTTTCTTAGCTATGATCAAGAACTCGACAGGGAAAGTACTGCAATGGATCAGGGAATACTTGACAGGAAGGAAACAACGAGTGTTGGTACATGCTGAAGTGTCGGAGTGGGCGCCTATGTCGAGTGGGGTTCCACAAGGGTCAGTCCTAGGTCCGGTGCTGTT